TAACAAGAAAAGAAAAGCCATTTATTTGGGGCGAAGAGCAGCAGGAAGCTTTTAATAAAGTAAAGAAAATTTTGTCGGAGAAACCTGTTTTAATTTTTCCGGATTATTCTAAGCCATTTCATATATTTTGCGATGCCTCCCAAGTCGGACAAGGGGGTGCCCTTATGCAATGGGATGAAGAAAAGAAGGTTTATGGAGTAATTTGTTATTGTAGTCGCACTTTATCACACGCTGAAAGAAACTGGCCTCCAGTTCAAATTGAACTTGGAGCTATAATTTTTGCGCTTCGGCAGTTTAAACCGTTTATTTTCATGTCTAGTATTGAGCTTCACACTGACCATAAGCCTTTAGCATTTCTTTTAAAGAAAGCTGAGACGCACCAACATCTAGCTAGGTGGCTTGTTGAGCTGCAGAATTATAACATTAATATAATTCATATTGCGGGTAAGCAAAATACCTTAGCAGATGCTAGAGATTATGAGTGGTTTGAAAAAGACTTAAATTTTAATAAAAATAATATAAATACTAATTTATCAAATTACAGGAAAAGACCAGCAGAACAAACCTGGAAAGAATATGCTAATACAACATTTGAGAGGAGCAGGACCAATACATGTTTGAACTGTGGGCGCCTGGACATATTGCTCGAAAGTATTATTGGAATACTTGGAGGAAGAATGAGAGTTGGAAAGGCAGAGGAGGAAAATATTAAATTTGTGTTTTTAATCAATTATATTTTTTTGTACTTTATATACCCATTCTCACTTCCTTTTAATTATTTTAAACTGAATCTTATTCATTAATATAATGTCATTTCCAAACCTATTATTTTTTTTCTATTAACCTTTCAACCAATCCATTTATACCCAAATTCATTTTTTTTACATTATTTTTAGAATATTCCTTTTCCAATTCTCTAAAAAAAAATTTTTTTTTTGCAAGTCTTACTCCACTCATTTATACTCCAATTTTGTATTTTCAAACACTTCGGTAGTTTTCTGGATTTTTTTTTCTCTCTAAATTTTATTTCAAAGTATTGATTTATGAACTTATACTCTTATTAAACGTGTTACCCACTTAATTTATTTTATACTTTTACAAAAATATTTCAATATCTCAATTTATTCTTATTTTCTATATTTTGAAATTTATATGCATTTTTAAATCATACCCACATTTTTAAAACAAAAGGAAACATACTCACCCGAAACCTTAAGAAATTTTTAAACACAACCCCAACTAGACTAAACAGACTCTGAAATCATACAATTACATTTATATCAAACCCCACTACTTAATATTGACCAAGAGAAATTTTTCATGAAACAATTGATAAGCACTAATAATGGACCAGGGTCGGTCCAAAAAAGGAAAAAGGAGAGATATGCTCGAAGAGCACACAAAGAAATGAGATAAATAAAGAAGAAAATTAAATTAGGTTCGCCTACTCACCAGAGTGCTTATCGATTGAGAAATAAAAGTGAATGGTCATTATTTAAGTAGTTTGGGAAATGATAAATTATAAAATTTTTGAAAAATTCAATTAGAGTCTGTTAAGTCTAGATTAAGACCAGGGACGGTCTTGATGGGGAAGGGACGTGTAAGGGTCAAAGGTATTCTCGGAGTTTGTTTCCTATAGTTTATAGTCATTTTATTATTATTCATTTCCCTCCCACTTTTCTCACACATTTAAAAGGATTTGTAATCACCTTACAAGGGTCTTATTGTTCTTTCACTTTAATAAATATTTTAATGGAGTTTTAATTGTTTGGATTTAATAAATATATAAATTGTGTGTTCAATTGTATGTGTCCGGTGCAGGAGATCAACCGGGGGCCTGATCAACCCTTGGGTTCCTCTTAGGAAGTCCCGGGCATATTCCCTCCCGTATTCCATCATTCTGGGGTTTGGGCCCACCGCATTGGTTATATCTTGTTCCGGGGTCCCACCTCTATTGTAGTCGATCTTGATTTGAGGAAACCAAATTGATTTTTATCAAAAAAATCCTTATTATGTAAAAATTCTATAATATTACTGGCTATGATTCTTTCAAAAACTCTACATAATGTACAAGTTAGGGAAATTGGCCTATAATTTTCTGGATCTGTTGTTATTCCTTTTTTATGTATAGGTATTATAATTGATGTTTTCCAAATGTCAGGTATATTTTTGCTATCTAATATTAGTCTAAAGATTTCTGTAATATATTGTGCAATTTGATCACACGATCTTTTTAATAATATATAGGGTATCTGATCTGGTGATGTTGAATTTTTATTTGGAAGTCTTTTAAGTAAATCTAGAATTTGTAGAATATCAAAGTTTATATCTTTGATAAGATTTTGTGAATTAGAGTTAGGATTTTGAGAGTAGACGTCAATAAATTCTTGACCTTGAGTTTCCTTATCAGTGAAGTTACTTTGAAAACTTTCTGCGAGTAACTCACATTTTTCCTGATCTTTTGTAAATATATTTCCTTTTTTATCTATTAATGCTTCAATACATGCGTTTGTTTTAAGTTTCTTTTTAATAAATTTGTGAATTGCATTTGCACCTTTTGATATAATGGTGTTCTCCTTATTATAATGAAATTTTTGTAATTGAATTTTAAGTTGTCGTGAGATAATTTTATATTTTGTTGCCAGATTAGAATTAGGAGATTCCTTCAAAGTTTTGTGTAATTTTAGTTTTTCTTGATTCAGAGATCGGATTTTTTGTGGATATTCGTTTTTAATTATGGTATTTATAGTCCTAAGTGGTATGAATTTATCATAATAGAAATATAGTATTTCAGTAAAAGAATTATATTTTTCATTGATTGCATATTTGTCAGACATATATTTTATAAAATCAAGTTGTGTTAGCTCTATGTTTAACTTGGAGAAACCTTTTTCTGTTACTTTTCTTATGTATATCTTCTTTTGTGGAATACGCATAGTGCATAAGGAAAGATTGAACTTTAAGGATTTGTGATCAGATGTTGAAAAATTTTCAGTGATCTCTAAATTTCTAACTAAGTCATGGGGTCTCGAAAATACAAGATCTAAGATATTATCGCCGCGAGTAGGTGATGTAACATGTTGTTTAAGTTGGGTGCGATTAACAAATTCAATAAATATTTGTTTAGTATTATCATTTGAACAAGAGTTTGTTAACCAGTTTATTGTGTTAATATTAAAATCACCAGCTATTATTAAGTTTTTATGGTTTAAGTCAGCAATATATTTAAGTATTTTATTAGTACTAGATTGATTAAGTGATGGGGGTCTATATAAAGTAATAACAACAGTAGGTTTGGTAATCAGAATCTCAATAATAATAATTTCGCAACCAAATTTTGTCCCACAGAATAAAAGTTTGACAGGTATAGTTGATAAAATTAAAAGACAACAGCCACCTCCCCTTTTATTTGGACGATTTGCAAAGTAACACTGATATTTATCACCCATTGAAAAATCTGTTTTTATACAATTAGATTGAGTAAGCCAGCTTTCGGTAATCATACAAATGCTAGGGTTATGTATTTCAAGAAAATGTTGCAAATCAGGCACTTTATTATTTAGTGATCTGCTGTTAAAGCAAAGGCATGTTAAATTTTTTATATCTATATCAATGTTAGAATTTTTTGACTTTCGGGGTTTACTCAATTTATCCTATTTAGTATTGAGAGGTTTAGGTTCGCGTAACTCCCTTATTTGTAGGTCAACTACATAATATTTAAAAAGTTTACATGAAGCATTAAGTGAATATGCTTTAGACCGTTGTGAATATAATATTGCTAATTCGGCCGGGATCATATCCCTTCGAACAGTAAGATTTTGGGGAAGGGAATGTATTTTACGCAAAGTGTTTCGAAAAGAATACAAAAATTTGTCACGCGAAATAGTGTTTTTAAAAGAAATTTTAATTAATTTTGGTTTTTTGTTTATTTCGCTAGACATATTTTTGTTTTGTGGGTGACGGTGTGTATGTTCTGGTAAATATTCATTAGTAAGTCCAATAGAATCAATAATTTTTCCTACCACTTCCTTCTCATCCATAGATTCAGGTAGTTTTTCAAGAACAGCTCTACATGATTTTTGCTTGAGAAGATCCCCATTAGATGCTGCTGAAGATATTAGTTTCATAACAAGGTCAGGTGGAGGACTTAGGGCAGAAATAGGCGAACCCCATGATGGTTGGGAAGTTGTGGTGTTGTTATTATTGTCAATACGTGTTAAAATTTCTTCAATTTTTAATATTTTTTCTTCAATTTTTTCAATACGTGTCAATACAATTTCATTAGTATTATTTTTTTTATTTGATGTTGTCAAGGGAGAAACAATATTAGAAATCTTTGTTGTTAATTGCTCTACTAATTTTTCCAATCGATCTATTCTTTGTTCTATTATATTGCCTTCATCCTCAGAACTTTCTAATGATTTTTGTCTTTTCTTTGTCGATTTGGACATTGTCGAATTTTTAATAAATTAGAAGAATTTAATAAATTAGAAGAATTTAATAAATTAGAAGAATTTAATAAATTAGAAGAATTTAATAAATTAGAAGAATTTAATAAATTAGAAGAATTTAATAAATTAGAAGAATTTAATAATAAATTAGAAGAATTTAATAATAAATTAGAAGAATTTAATAATAAATTAGAAGAATTTAATAATAAATTAGAAGAATTTAATAATAAATTAGAAGAATTTAATTGATAGCCTATAAATCAAAGAATTCATTTGATAGCCTATAAATAGAGCTACAAAATCATATGAAATTAGAAATTCCAAATTAATGTTTGAAAAAATTATTTTCAAAAATATTACTAAAAACACATATTTTTTCTTAACTAAATTTCCGCCACTGTAGGTTTGGTTGAAAAAAGTCGGATCTGATTTTCAAAATTTTCTTTGGAAATCTCGGGTCGAAAAAGGTTGGGGTTCTGATAATTATTATTATAAATAACCCTTAAATTAACTCGTAAATAGGACAATTATAATTAAATAATTTAAAAATTACCAAGGGGACATTTCAATCAGTAAAGACCAAAAACTAATAAAATAAACTTGCTGTATATCCAATAATTGTTTTAAACCAGAAAATTCCTTAAATCTTTCCCCGTAAAATGAAAATCCAAGCATTATTTGATTAATAATAGAACCAGTCATTAAATCAACTTCTCTATCAATTGAATGTTCTAATTTACCCATTAACTTTTCATTTTTGATTTTATCAATAACACGGAAAATTGCATCTAAAACCTAAACAGAATTAATTTCAAGAATGGATTTAACTTAAATAGAAAATTCCAAAAGATAAGGGTTCTTACAAGTACTTTGGTGTATTTTAAAGTTTTTCTCACCAAAATTAAAAATTTTTTATTAATTTTACTTACATCCCTAAGCAGAATTTAATAAAAATTATTTAAAAATAATTTATTTATTTACCTGTTTTTCAACCGTGTCTTTATCGATTCCATAGTCGCGCATAGCCTTATAAAAAAATTTGCGCATCTGCCTCCATTGCTCTCCATTTGTACGAATTATGCCGTCAACAGAACCTTGAAAAAATATTTTAAAAAATAATAAAATTATTTTAGGATATAATTATATTATTCTTTTAAATTTAAACAAAAATATTCTACTAATACCAAAAAATAAAGTAAAATGTTTGATTAAAAAATCTCTATCAACATAGGTATCGCCATCTCTAATAAATGCTGATTTTATAAGTTCATAATCAGTAATAATAACTAGTGGCTGTTCTCCAATCCAAATTGTATAGACAGGGCCTTTAAATTAAAGTAAATAAATTATAGTTAATTCTAATAATGAGTATATTATTAGCAGGGTTAGACAAACAAATTTTGCCAATTTTAGTTGAAAATAAGTATCAGAAACAATTTTTGGAAATTATGGGTTATCCGAAACAAGTTTATGCGGATTCATTTATGTACGGAATGGTCAAAGGTCTTCCTTGCACGATTTCCCTCTCCTGTGGCATCATTCAATGATTTTTTTAAATAAACTTTAACAACCCAAAACATAACAATTTTTTTAAGTTTAATTTTAATAAAAACCATATTTTTTAGCCCAATCAGCAAAACATTTATATCGTCTATCAGCTTTACTAATTTCTAAAACATTTCCAATTATAGGTAAAGGAATAGGGCCATCCGGCAAATTCCGACGTTTCCAATAAAAATTATAAAAAATAATTAAAATAAAAATACAATTAATTAAAATTAAAGAAATAGGCAAAATAAATAGAACCATTCTTTTAATTTTATAAATATATTTTCTAAATTTTTAAAATTAATTTAATTAATAGGAATTGAGATTAGAGAAGGAAAATTTTCAAGAGGCTTTGATTATTTTTTAAACAAAACTTATTTTATCAAAGTGTTCAATCAATTTTTTGTTAATTCTATTTGATAAAAGAAGTAAAAACAAATTTTCTTAAATGAAAATATTAAATTCATTTAATTAAATCCCATTCAATTTTTCTGTTTTTTATGATAGTGGCTGTACAAGTGACATAATTTTTGAATTCATTATTATAATTCATTAAAATTAAATTTTTTAAAATACTAGTTTATTAATAAAATAATATTGAATAATAAAAATATTTTTGATAACATTCCTAATTAAAATTAAAAAAGATTAAAAAGTATTGTAAAACCCCAGCAAACGACTCAATTTACTTTAGAATAAAATATAAGGTAGAGAGACATATCAATGTTCAGATTTATTAGTAAACTAAAAAATTAAATAATTAATGATAGGAAAAATTATTTTTGTAGGTTGTGTTTATTTTTTATACAAAATGTGTTATGTCCAAAATATTTATCGTTAAAAAATGTTAATAATAAAAAAATAAAAAATAATAAATGTTTATCAGTTGGTTTTTAAATAAAGAGAAACTAAAAAAATCTGTGTTTGCATATTTATAAAGTTCCAGGACATAATGAAAAAATGGACTGTAAATGTTGATAAAATGGTGAAAAGCTGTGGTTATGATTGTAAAAATACCGAAAAATTACCCAATTTACTTCAGATAAGCACAGCTGTTTTGAAGCAAAAAAAATAAAAATCGAAATAAAAATCTCAAAAATCTAAATTTTGAAACAACCCGCCCGAAAATAATCAAATTTAATAAAGACAGAAAATGATGCCAAAATATATGTGTAAGGGAAATTTTACATAAAAATATTTAATAAAGTTTAAAAATATTTTAGGACTTTGACTTTCAACTTAATTCTTCGACAATCTCTCTCAGTTTTTAATCTTTCCCATTAACTTCCGGCGCTTCATCTTCATCGTTTCCGGCCTCGTCATTATCCTCATCATTTTGAGGAGTTGGACTACTCTCTTCCTTATTTTCCTTTTTCATATCCTTCCCTTCCTCTTCATCTTTCTCTTCTTCATCCACATTCTTTTCTTCATTTTCATCTTCCCCATTCGTTTCCTTCCCAATATCTTGTTTCTTTTCTAAATTCTTTGCTTCTTTAACCTCATCATCTTTTGAAGGATTCTTTTCTTCCTTTTCTCCATCATTCTTCATTTTATCTTCATTTTCTTCGCCAGATTCCGAAGAGTCAGCAGCATTTTCTTTGACATCCTTTAATATATTCTTGTTTTCTTCAGCGGAATTAGAGCCTTTATCATCCTTTCCCTTTCCATTCTTTATTTTATCGTCTTTATCTTCATCATACTCATCATCTTCCTTCAATTCCTCATCTTTATTTAGACTGTCCTCATTTTCTTTAGTCAATTCATTTTTACCAATATTGGTAGAAGGGGCTAAAGAATTTTCAGCATTTTGTCCAGGCATTGGGGGATTTGCAGGGCTTAAAGCCTTTTCTTCCTCCTCTAAGCAAAAATTAATAACTCGAAGTTTAACTTTCTGACGGAATTCATTGCGAGTTTCTGTACTTGCTGCTTTCACTGAATCACGAATATTTACACATTCTTGATGACGGCTCACAGTTTGGTCAGCAATTGTTGCCTAGTAAATATAATGAAAAATAGGGATTATTGTGAACCCTAAAACGAACCATTATAGTTTTATACAACTCTTGAGTATCAGCTGAGGAAGTCTCAACATTTTTCGCATTTTTTTCGTTCGCAATTTGTTTTTTATCATTTAAACGTTGCTTCCAATCTGTGTAGGCCTTCTAAAATTTTAAAATTATAATTAGGCAAACACCTTTAAAAAAGCTAACCTTTACTTCTTCATTTTCCTTTAGCAGCCATTCTTCTCTTTTTTTCTCCAAATCTGCCTTTGATAAGTCAATATCACGTAGAGGGGCCCGAAATGAGAGAATACTTTCAACCGATACATTTTTAAGAAAAGGATATATTTGAACAAGGAATTGTTTTTCTTGCTCATCAAGTTGCCCATTCTCTTCACTACTGTCCAAAATAAATAATTTTTATAAAGGCAAAACATTATTTTTTAGATTAAAAAATATTAAAATAAAAACAAACCCATTAGGCATTACAACCTCATTTCCCCCTTTTTTACTTTCAGGGTTTCCATCAAAATTCACATTTTTATTTCCGGGAAATTCTTGGAATTGAGAGTTCCCTTGCATATTTTGCTTCCCAGGCACCCCATAAGGAGGATTTTGACCTCTTCCAAAAAGATTCATTTCTTGATTCGGATTTCCTTCAAATTCTCCATTTCCTTGATTTCCTTGCTTATCAAAATTTGTTTTATTTCCATTCCCCTCAAATCCTCTAGGATAACCATTATCCTCATTTAGTCCATTATTTTGAGGATTACCTCCAAAACCATTTCTCATTGGTCCTGGCGGTCTATTGAATGTTTCATTCATTCCTTGCCTTCCAAAAGAACCAGGCTGTTCAAAGTCATTTCCCTGATTTCTACCATATTTTTCATTGTTTTCAGAATTTTTCTCCCCAATTTCATTTTTAAAGTTTCCAACTTTTTGTCCCTCAGGCATCCTCTGACCTTGAGAAAAATTTTGATCACCTTCAAATGACTCTTCATCAGATCCTGAACCTTCCGATTCTCCTTTCATTTTTTGTTGCTGTTGATTTTGTGATAAATTTTGCTGTCCAACCCTCCCTTCATTCGGGTTATAATCATTTCCAAAAGGCATAGGTCCTTTTCTTTGACCATTAACTTGAGCATAATCATTGTTGCCGCCACTATAATCGTTTGGAGGAATACTTCTAGGCTCACATAGTTGAAATAGTAAAAGGGAACAAATAATATAAATTAACGATGAGGATTTCCTCAACATTTGAATTTTTTGATATTTTCACAAAAAATACCTTAATAATAATTTTATAAAAATTAAATTATAAAAATAAAGCTTATAGTTTTTATTACAAATTCTATAAAAGAAGTTTAAAAATTAAATAAAAATTATTTGTTTCCTTAAATCATAATAGAAATATAAACATCTTTAATGTCTATATGGATGTTTTAAAATGTTTTAAGAAATAATTGAAAGTGAATATGCCTGTCATAAATTGCACTTTATCATGCGCAAAATATGAAGGGCAGGGGTTGAGAGATAGAAAATTGGTAGGGAGAGAGAGAGAGAGAGAAAAACATTTTTTACAAGTGCCTGATTGCCCGCTAACACAATCAGCTTTATTCATTTTTTGCCACGTTTAGTCTCGACTTCCACTGTCAGTGAGTGAGGGAATGAAGAAATAATAGAGAAGAGATAAAGGGCAAAAGAAAAAAATTAATGAAGAAATAAACAAGAATTGATAAGATGCGGGATTTTTTTTATTAGCCAATTTTTTATTTGTAGAAAGTTATGGCATGAATTAAATCGCAACAGGTTTAGAAACTTTACTGGTGAAATACGAGTGGAAGAGTATAATAAAATAAACAAATCCGTGAAAGATAATGAAAATAAATATGTATCAACGAGTGAAAAGTTTTATAAATATGTAGTATGTTGCATTAATAAAAGTTTCATGAAGATAGGATTGAGTAAAAATCTTTAAAAAATTCTTTTAAAGGTTATGTTCATCAGTTAGCAATTTTGAGCAGTTATAATTTCTGAAATTTTATAAATTGCCAAAACTAAGTGAATAAATTAATGCATCTTTAAGCTAGTATTTTAATGCTTTTAAACTGGTTCCAGACCTGGTAATTTTAATTGAAAACAAAGAAAAACAAAGAAAATCTAAGTTTTTTTATGTTTATGTTAGAGTTGGCCGGTATCGGGATCCCGATCTAAAATCGGTATCGGTATTTAGGAATGATGATACCGATCCCGATACCGATACCGACCTCGGGATCGGTATTGACCAAAACCGGTATCGGGATTTGGGTTAGTGATACCGATACCGGTACCGATACCGATTCGGGATCGGTATTAAAAATCGGTATCGGTATTTACTAAAAAATTTTTAATGTGAAAAAAATAAATTCATTCTTCATTTTAAAAAATGTTTCAATCAGTAGTAAAATGATAAATTAACACTATAAAGCTATTTTTGAGACAAAAACATCTCAGGAACAAAAGAAGACCTTCCAGATCCACCGATATCCATTTAATCCTCCGATATCACTTCATCCACGGTTATACGCCAAATTCAACTTTATACCTCAAATCAACTTTGGGGATTAGGAGGGATATCGGTAGACTTTTTGGGAGTACTAGGGATACCTCCGATAATCGAATGATATCCCTCAATATGTGGACCAGACCTGCATAAAACTTTTTTAGTTTAGGCTTCGTTCGTTAACAAAACACCTGTGTTTGTTTCATTAATAAACATTACTTAATTTTTAAGACAAAATTTTATTTACCGAAGGAGCCAAAATCGAAAATTCCGAAAATTTTATGGTCAAAAAACCAAATTTTTTCCGATTTCAGCGCCGCAGGCGGAATTTTAAAGATTTTTGTAAAGTCAATAGGCCAGAGTTGTTCCTTTATTAGCGCCGCAGGCGTAATTTTTGAGAATTATAGAAGGCCGTAGGTCAAAAAATTCACTTTTTCAGCGCCGCAGGCGAAAATTCTGAAAATTTTTGAAGCCAAGAAGCCAGATTTCTTCCATTTTCAGCGCCGCAGGCGAAAATTTTGAGAATTTTAGAAGGCATGCGGCTAATTTCGTCCATATAAAAAATGAGAAATCAATCCTTAGGGGTGTTAAAAAATATTTACAAAATCGGTATTTTGTCGGTATCCGACGCTAATCCCGATACCGATACCGATACCGGCCTCGGTTTCGGTATCAGCAAAAACGGTATCGGGATTTGTCTTTCGGTGTCGGTATCAAAAAAATCGGTATCGGGATTCAAA